CCACACTGCCCTGTTTGCCCTTGAGCTAAGCAAACTAGAGTTCCTTTCCCTCACAACAATACTCACTCTAATTGTATTTTTGATCTATTACACATGGATATTTGGGGTCCATATAGGACACCAAGCCATGGTAATGCCAAGTACTTTATTACCATAGTTGATGATTTTTCTAGAGTCACTTGGATTTTTTTAATGCAGTATAAATCTGATTCCTTTGTTACCATCAAACATTTTCTTCAATGGTACAAATCAAATATAATTTTACTCCATAGTGTATTCAAACTGATAATGGGCTTGAATTTTTTAATAAAGATTATAAAGAATTGTTTCTTAGTAAAGGTATTGTGCATCAAAGTTCTTATGCCTATACCCCTCAACAAAATGGCATCGTTGAGAGGAAACATAGGCACATAGTTGAGGTAGCTAGGGCTTTACAATTTCAGGCCAATATACCTAGTCATCTTTGGGGATATATTGTGAAGATGGTTGTCTATTTGATTAATAGGTTTCCTTCTTCTGTTTTGAAAGGTTTATCTCCTTTTGAAAAGTTTTTTAGTAAATCACTTTCCTTGAATCATCTTAGGGTGTTTGGATCTTTGGCTTATGCTACCATTCTTACCTCCAAGGACAAGTTGTCCCCTAGTTCTACTTCATGTGTCTTTTTGGGTTATTCCTTGACTCAGAAAGGTTATTTTCTTTATAACCTTTTCTCTCATTCTGTTTCAGTTACCATAGATGTTACATTTTATGAACACATATTTCCTTTTACTTGGTCCAGGCCCTCACAACCTATTTTTCCTCTTGATGCAGATTTTATTGATTTTGATACTGTTTTACCTACTATCTAGTCAATAGAACCTACAGCTCATTCACGTTCTTCCTTTGTTAATTAGCGGGTTGTAGACCCTCATGTTTCTTCCCTTCCTCAACATGTTTTATCACCTATTACCCAGCCTGTTTCCCTTCCTGTTAGACAATCCAGCAGGCCTAAAAGACCTCCTATTTGGACTTCAGATTTCATTTGTCCATCCTTTTCCTCTTCCTCTTCAGCTAATACCACTCTTTATCATATTTCTAATTCTGTTACCTATAATCACATTTCTCCTTCCTATAAAGCTTATTTGTCACATCTCAATTTAGTGGAACCTACCTCTTTTTCTTTGGCCTCTAAAGATCCCAACCGGGTTGCTACTACGCAGAAAGAAATCCAGGCCTTAGAAAACAATCAAGCCTGTTCTCTTGTACCTTTACCCCCTGGTAAAACTCCCATCGATTGTAAATGGGTTTACAAGTTGAAATATCGAGCTGATGGTTCCCTAGAGAGGTACAAGGCTCGGTTAGTGGCTAAGGGGTTACTCAACAAGCTGGGGTGGATTATGCAGAAACTTTTTCCCCTGTTGTCAAAATGGTAACTGTTAGAACCAATTTATCCTTAGCCTTTATGCATGGTTGGTCTCTTTATCAATTGGATGTTGATAATGCTTTCCTCCAAGGAAATTTACAAGAAGAGATATATATGACTTTGTCTCAGGGTTTTGTTAAGCAGGGGGGCAAGATGTGGTGTGTAGGCTTCACAAATCCTTGTATGGATTAAAGCAAGCTTACAAAAGCTTTACTTGCTAGTGGTTTTTGCCATTCCAAATCAGATTCCCCTTGTTCATTAAGAGGGTTGATTCTCATGTTTTGATATTACTAGTGTATGTGGATGATATAGTCATCACAGGGAACAACGCTGAGATGATTCAGCAATCTAAAGAACTTCTGCATTCTAATTTCAAGCTAAAGGACTTGGGTTTGCTAAGGCATTTTTTGGGATTCAAGGTTACTAGAAGTCCTAAAGGGATCAGCTTGTGTCAAAGAAAATATGCCTTAGAATTGATTTCAGAATCTGGTCTGTCAGGTTCTAAACCATCTGCTATTCAATGGATTCAATTTTAATATTGACATTTGCTGCTTATGATGACCTCTTCCCTACTGAACCTGCTCTGTTGCTACCTAATCCAAGTGTTTATCAGAGATTAGTAGGAAAGTTGTTGTACTTGTGCATGACACGGCCAGACTTAAGTTTTCTTGTCAATTTGTTAAGCCAATTCATGCATAAACCCAAGCAGTCCCACATGAATGCAGCCCTTAAAGTGGTCAGATGCATAAAGTTAGCTTCAGGTTTAGTTTTGTTCTTTCCAGATGAAAATCACATGAATTTGTCAGCCTTTTGTGACTGTGATTGGGCATCTTGCCTAATGACAAGGAAATCAGTGACTGAATATTGTGTTTTTCTTGGAAAGTCTTTAATTTCTGGGAAATCTAAGAGGCAGGCTACCATTTCCAAATCATCTTCACATGCAGAGTATAGGGCAATGGCTTCAACTATATGTGAACTTCTTTGGTTGGTGCAACTTCTCTTAGAACTTGGTTTTGCAAAGACTAATATGTTGCCTATTCCTCTTCATTATGACAACCAAGCTGCCAATCAAATTGCCTCTAATCCTATTTTTCATGAGAGGACAAAACATATTGATATCGATTGCCACATTGTCAGAGATCAGCTCAAGCTTGGTTTTATCACAACTGCTTACAACTCTTCTACAGAACAGCCGGTAGATTTACTGACTAAAGCCCTTGGCATCAATCTTCACTTCAAGCTACTGCACAAGTTGGGGGTTTTAGACCTTTATCACCCACCAACTTGAGAGGGGGTGTTAAGTAGTTGATTTGTATATAATGTACAAGTGTAATGTTAGTTAAAGTGTAGTTAATTAGTTGAGTTGTATAGCTTGAGTTAGTTGTTAACTCAGGTTAGTTTGTACAGTTAGTTTGATTAGTTAGATTAGTTACTATAGTATAAAAGTATTGTAAAGTGCTTTATTCAATAACAGAGAATAGATTTTCCCCAAATACACTCTCTTCGATCGTCTTCAATCTCTTCAACAAGAGAAGTAGTTATGAACCCTGTAGACCACCCTAATGGGGGTAAAGGGCTAAGCCACTGTATATCATAGACACATGATTGATGGTTTAAGGAAATAAGATTGCATTTTTGTTAATAATTCTAACTTTTGACTCAATGACAAGCATGTAATTTCGACAAATAGTGTCAAAACCTAGATATGTTTTTAATCTGTACAAAACTCAAAGTGTTAAGAGGAGATTGTTACTAAGGTAAGTTAGCATCTTATCTTGGAGAAGGCTAAAGGAACCAGTTGGTATGATCATATATTACTTGTATTTTATATTTTTAATGGTTTGATATCTCGAAATTTCAAGACCACCTACTAAAAAAAAATTCTTAGATTCTCAGATATTGCAATTATTTTTTGGCCAATTTTATTATAGCTATGGGGACCAATTTTAATTATAATTAAGAAAAAAAATACTTCCCTTCCATGGCAAGAGAAAAGAAATTTCACACTATGACATGTCATCATATAATTCATGTGGGTCTCGATCATGGAAAAAGTTGGTACACATAACGCCACATAAGCATTCTGGGCCCCATGAGCTCGAGGTTTCCACATGTCCAAGTTCCAACATGTTTATGTTCTTTATTCGGTCTCTGACACCGACAAGAGAACCAATCGGTTGATTGAAAAACGATATGACATATACTCCATGCATTACTTTAACTTTAAAACCTAATTTTCAACCTTCTATTTTTAGTAAAACAGTATGTTGGAAATTGAATTACCCAAATGCCCTTCCATCTCAGCTTCATTATTTTATTTCCTAACCTTCATTTACTTAAATTTTCTTATTGGTTGCTACTAGAAAAAACTTATAATACAGATCTTGGCTTGTAATCATATGAATATTTTACATATACAAACCCCTTGAAACCAAATTTTTATTATATGTATTTATTCTATTTATTTTTATGAATTGAAAAATCATTGACACATCAAAGTGGTATTTTTTATATCAATAACCCCACCCTTATTAGCAACCGAGGGGAATCTAACACAGGACCTCTTGAATAATACACCCAAGAGTTCTTATCCCATCACCCTGCCACTTAGCGGTGGTTCACGCTTTACACTGAATTTCTTCCTTTGAATTGTCATTAAGGTACACGTTATCACAATCCAATAAAAATTGTTGGATATACTCCCCTTTAAGGGTGTGCTTGGTTAGGAGTTATGTGAGATTACTCCAGTAATGTCATTTTATATTACTTGTATTACCATATTTGGTTGGCAAGTAACATAAAATTTCGGTAATCATTCAAAACCAATAGTAATCATTATGGGTTATATAAGTGGTAATCTGAATATCACTCTTTTCTTAGGTATTCCAAGATTACTTGGGAATCTTATTTTTGTTAAAATTTACAAGAATATTCATGGACTATTTTATCCTTATACACAAAACTTTTGGACAAGAATGTTGTAACTCCCACTTTGAGGTACATAGCTTATTCATGGTTATTTACCTTTAAATGTTGTTGTTGTCCCTTAGTTAAGTTGGTAGGGTTATATTGTAGTGTGGTTGTCTTGAATTTGGTGAAGACTTGGCGAAGTTGGAAATTACAGACTTCGCAGGGGCGAAGAATAAGCTTCGCCGCGGCGACGTACGCTCTGTAATTTTTCACCGAGGCGAAGAGTTGGCTGAATTTCTTGAGAAGTTTCTAGAGGAATTTTCCATGGGGGCAAAGTGACCATTCTACCCCTAATTAGCAGGAAAAGTGGGGAGTGAAATATAAGAAAATCTCATGGAGAATGCATTGGAGATGGGGTTGTATTTGTAAAGAATTCAAGGGTAAAGATGAAATTTCCAAGAAAGTGTAAGGGCAAAATGGGAAAGAATGTTTATTTATATGAGCTACTAAGGGTTTAGCCTTACAAACCCTCCCATTCTCTACTCCCTATACACCACTTCCACTCTCCATTCCTCTCATCTCTTCACCAATTTTCTAAAGGAAATTGAGGGCTTTTGGTTGGATTTTGATAGGGATTTGATCCTAAGCATNGATTGTTCAATTTTTGTTCTAATGGAAATGTACCAAATGCAGGGTGGACAAAAATTTAGATGGCAGAATCACTGAAAAGGAAGTGAAAGAGGTGAGATTTTGTTTACGATTGAAAGGTTCAATGAAGTTTACATTAGTTTCTAAAAGGATTTATACATTAATTATTTATATTTAAATGTTATTTCACAGATTATTCTTCTTAGTGCATCTGCAAATAAGCTGTCAAAAATCCAAGAAAGTGCAGAGGAATATGCAGCTTTAATCATGGAAGAGCTTGACCCAGACAATCTTGGATATGTTGAGGTCAGTCTTTTTGGGCTCATTCTAGTCCAGGCCCAATGTGAACACATTGTTTAGTCTTGTTTTTGTTTTCAGATACTGTTTTCAGAAAATGATGAGGAGTTTCACCTGACAAACCTGAAGATAATAAGGTTAATTTTTATGTTTTCTGCAGTTGTACAACTTGGAAATGCTGCTACTGCAAGCCCCAAATCAATCAACTAACCTGATAACCGATAGTCGGATGTTGAGCCAGATGCTAAGTGAAAGATTGGTGCCAACCAAAGACAGAAATGTGATCAAGAAATGGTACAGGGGGCTAGCCTACTTTGTTGAGGACAATTGGAAGAGGATTTGGGTCATGGCACTATGGCTTTCTATCTGTGCAGGCCTTTTCACCTGGAAATTCATTCAGTATAAAAATCGTGCCGTGTTCGATGTAATGGGGTACTGTGTTACCACAGCTAAGGGTGCAGCTGAGACACTCAAATTCAACATGGCACTAATTCTTCTCCCAGTTTGTAGAAATACCATTACTTTGCTTAGAAGTAAAACCAAGCTTGGAGCTGTTGTTCCCTTTGATGACAACATCAATTTTCACAAGGTATGAATTATAGAGGTTTCTTTGTAACGAATAAACCGCAAAATTTTGTCTTTTAATAGTTTTCTAATGTTTTGATCTGTATAGGTGGTTGCTTTTGGGATTGCTATTGGAGTTGGACTACATGGAATTGCACATCTTACATGTGATTTTCCAAGGCTGCTACATACAACCGATGATGAGTATGAGCCAATGGAGCAATTCTTTGGCGAAGATCGCCCGGAAAACTACTGGTGGTTTGTGAAAGGGACTGAGGGTTGGACTGGTGTGGTGATGGTGGTGCTCATGGCCATTGCCTACATATTAGCACAACCATGGTTTCGCCGCAACAGGCTAAAGCGCCCAAAATTCCTGAAGAAACTCACCGGTTTCAACGCCTTCTGGTACTCACACCACCTGTTTGTTATTGTGTATGTTTTGTTCGTCATTCACGGATACTATCTCTTCCTCTCCAAGAAATGGTACAAGAAAACGGTAAGCTGCTTTAAAACTGGTAATTATACACTAACACTTATAATTCATATGAATTCTAACAATGTTTTGGAATGTTGCTTTAGACCTGGATGTATCTGGCCGTCCCGGTTCTATTATACGCATGTGAACGCTTGACTCGCGCATTCAGGTCGGGCTATAAATCTGTGAAGATTCTTAAGGTACATTAATCAACAATCCTGATGTCTAACATTGCATAATTTTTTGGTTTCAGAATGTACAAATGTAACATGCTTCATCTTTATAATTCAGGTTGCAGTGTACCCTGGAAATGTTCTGGCCCTGCACATGTCAAAGCCTCAAGGATTCAAATACACTAGTGGGCAATATATATTTGTAAATTGTGCAGATGTGTCCCCATTTCAATGGTAAATCTAAGGATTGAATTTGTACCAACTTAATTTCACAAAAACTTAACACAAAAATGCTAATAACTTTGGATCTTTACACAGGCACCCCTTCTCCATTACTTCAGCTCCTGGGGATGATTATCTGAGCATCCATATTAGGACTTTGGGTGACTGGACATCACAACTCAAAACCCTCTTCTCTAAGGTATGTCAGCCTCCATCAATGAATCAAAGTGGCCTTCTAAGAGCAGACGTCGGGGACAGCGAAAACAAGCCCAGGTAATTTTCCTTTTTTTAAGCTAATTCTTGTCTGGTAGGTTATCGCGCGCGTTAGAAGTATAATACAACAAATTGTCATATTAACAGGTTGCCAAAACTCTTGATTGATGGCGCATATGGAGCTCCTGCACAAGACTACAAGGAATATGATGTGCTCCTCTTGGTTGGCCTTGGCATAGGAGCCACCCCATTGATCAGCATTGTAAAAGATGTTCTTAACAACATTAGGCAACAGAAAGAATTGGAAGAAGGAATAGTAGAGGGTGGACAAGCCAAAAACAATAAGAAAAAGCCTTTCGCAACCAAACGTGCTTATTTCTATTGGGTCACTCGCGAGCAAGGCTCGTTTGAGTGGTTTAGGGGTGTCATGAACGAGGTTGCAGATTACGATCTAGACGGAATCATCGAGCTTCATAACTATTGCACTAGTGTCTACGAAGAAGGAGATGCAAGATCAGCTCTAATCACCATGCTTCAATCTCTCAACCATGCTAAAAATGGTCTTGACATCGTGTCAGGTACCCAAGTTAAAACACATTTCGCTAGACCTAACTGGCGTACCGTTTTCAAGCACGTTGCCATGAAGCACACCGACGAAAGAGTTGGTAAGTACTATACATTAATACTACACTCCCAAACTCTTCTCACTAACTTTCTCTCACAAACACGACATATCAGCTCGTAATTGATCAATTCGCAATGGGTTCTGTCTGCCAAACAATAGATCTTGTCTAATCAATTACGAGCTATCACGTTAACGTTTACGAAAAAAAGTTGTGAGAAATGTTTATCAACATCACTTTATTCTAACAATTATCACACTTGGCCTGGTCGCTAACACTCATATTTTATTTATAAGTATCAATATTTTTTGTTTGGTGCATAAGAATAGGGCGGTTAAAGGGAGACTAAATAATTAAAGTGATTATCTTTATTGAATATGGGGTTAAGGAAATGATGGGGATTTTGCTTTTTGTAACAGGGGTGTTTTACTGTGGAGCTCCAGGACTGACTGGAGAATTAAGGCGGCTAGCTCAAGACTTTTCTAGGAAAACTACAACCAAATTTGATTTTCATAAAGAGAACTTTTGAATTTGTCTTTAGTGCTTTCACTCTGTCTTTATCTTTTATTTCAAATTTAATTCTTTTTGTAAATGTAATATAAGTTTAATTTATGTGATGTTTCTTCTACAGCATACATAAATGTAATCTTTATAATAGTTTTTGTGGACTCTTCTTTCAGTTAAAAATGTAATGTTTCTTGTACTACTTGGAGAGATTTAATAAGATTTTACGTATACTTTTTAATAAGAATTTCTTTATGATTATTCACAAAGAGAATGATATTTTCCCAACCGAAGTTTGGCAAATATATATTTTCTCAACCATAAACTTTGGAAAAAAAACATTTTTCCACTCATCGTGAAAAATCAAATGTTAGTTTTAAAGACAAAAAGGGTAATAAATTAACCCTAAAATTAACATAAAATCAAACTAGCGATGAAAAATATATTTAATAAAGTTTAAATGGGAAAAATGTTATCTAACCAGTTAAAAATTATAAAGTCACATAGTAAAGGGTATTATAGGGTCCGTTTGTTTTATTATTTTGGATAGAATTTTGAGAATAATATTGGGTTGTTGAATAGGGGAGTATTACGAGGTAAAATTTAAAAATTTACAAAAAAAAACCCCATAGGTTTGCTAATTTAACTAAAACACCCCAATATATAAAAATTTTATAAAATGACAAAAACACCCTCACCCACCCACAATGCTAGATTCCGGCCACCACCACCGAAAAATGGCATTACGACGCAGACCGGTCAGATTTAACGGGTAGGGCATCGATATGATCGGTGAATTACCGGTTAGTTCCGGTCACTTGTAGGCTGTTGTGACATATTCTGGCTACCACCGACAGTGGTTGCCGGAATCTGGCAAGTATGGGTGGTGAGGGTATTTTTGTTAATTTTTAAACTTTTTTTCTGGGGGTATTTATGAAATTAATAAACTTAAGAGGTCTAAAAGTAATTATAAAATACACTAATATTTCTCAAATAACAAAACAAACAAATATTTTGGGAATAGGATTGGGAATATGGGTAGAAATAATAAGCCAAACGGAGCCATAGTTTTTCTGTAGCTTTACCTATAACAGATTCCATTGACTGGATTGACTACAGGTGGGAAAATGTTTTTTCCAAAGTTTATGGGTGGACAAAGCATATTGTGAAACTTTGCGTGGGAAAATGTAATTTACTCTTATTTACTCTGGCCTTCCTCTACAGTAATGTTTTTGGTACAAAACCATATGCTTGAGTGTTTTTGGTATAATTACAGTTTGAATAAAGTCCTGATTCACTCTCTGCTAGATTCAATTTGATTCGGTGCAGTGGGCCTCTATGAATTTGATTACATTTTTGCATAAAGTTTCAGTTCAAAAAAGAAATATATATATAAATAGATATACTCAATTCTGATTGTTTGTAAGTTTTTAACTTTAGAACCCATAAAATTATAACAGCTACACTTTAAATTTTTGAATCCATTTGATACGGTTTATTCAAGCAAAGCTTATAGAAGAAGAGTCTATTGAAGTAGAACTTACAAAAATATAGTATGCATTTGGTTTATTATTTTGGGTAGGATTTTGGGGATAGTATTGGATAATTAAATATGGGAGTATTACGAGGTAAAATTTAAAAATTTATAGAAAAACCCCCTAAGTTTGCTAATTTCATAAATACCCCCAACATGTAAATTGACAAAAATACCCCCACCACCTGCAGTGCCAAATTCTGGCCACCATCGCCGGAATCTGGCCGGAAAATCGAGTTACGACACAGATCGGTCGGATCTGTGTCGTAACAAGTCGTTATGGCCTTTTCCGGCCAGATCCACCACAGATCTGGCCGGAAAAGGCCAGATCTACGGCCTGTCGTGGCCGTCAACGGCCCAAAAAGGCCAAAACGACGGCCATCTTTGGCCGTCAGCGACGACCAAAGATATGGCCGTCGTTTTCGGTCAACGATGGCGAAGATTTGGCCGTCGTTCACGGCCAGATCTGACCTTTTCCGGCCAAATCCGTGGTGGATCTGGCCGGAAAAGGACAGATCGGTGAACTTCCGGCCATTTATGGTCGGAAGGTTGGCCGTTGTATAGATTTCGGCTAGCACCGACGGTGGTTGCCGGAATCTGNTATATATATATATATATATATATCAATTCTGATTGTTTGTAAGTTTTTAACTTTAGAACCCATAAAATTATAACATCTAACACTTTAAATTTTTGAATCCATTTGACTCGGTTTATTCAAGCAGAACTTATAGAAGAAGAGTCTATTGAAGTAGAACTTATAAAAATATAACTTTTATGAAAAGATTTCGTGTTAATCAATCTTTGACGAAGTGATTTAAAGTTTGTAAGTGATAGGCCTTTAAAACTATATAAGGTTTTGTATATTCACATGTTAGACACTTCGAAATGTCTACACCTAATAATTTTTTTCAAATATAATTTTAAATCATCCAAATTTTTAAAGAATCTGAGTATATGCATAAAAGAGTGACAATGCATACATGAGATAAATATGTTGACATAAGGAGGAACGTATTTACTAGTTATATCATTTGTAATCGTTTGAGTCTCAAGACGTTCTTCAAACCAATCAAAACACCCAAATACTGGGTGAAAAGGGTATGGAATAGAAAATTGGAAACTCCTTGGGTCCGTTTGGTTTGTTATTTTAGATAGGATTTTGGAAATAATATTAAATAGTTGAATGGGGTGATTATTACGAGGTAAAATTTAAAAATTAACAGAAAAAACCCCCTAGGTTTGCTAATTTAACTAAACACCCCAATATATAAAATTTTATAAAATGACAAAAACACCCCCACCCACCCACCCACAGTGCTAGATTCCGGCCATCACCATCGGAATCTGGTCAGAATTTGGCATTATGACTCAAACCAATTCTATCTGGCTGGACGTCCGTCGATCTGGCTGTCAATAGCTGCAAAAGGCTAGATCTGGCCATCAGCGACGACCAAAGATATGGCCATCATTATCGGTCAACGACAGCCATATCTTTGGCCATCGCTGACGGCCAGATCTAGCCTTTTTCAACCAGATCGACGAATTACCGGCCAGTTCCGATTATTTGTAGGCCGTTGTGACAGATTCTGGCTTCCATCGACAGTGTTTGCTGGAATTTGGCAACTATGGGTGGGTGGGGGTGTTTTTGTTAATTTTTAAACTTTTTTTTCTAGGAGTGTTATGAAATTAATAAACTTAAGGGGTCTAAAAGTAATTAAAAAATATAATAGTATTTCCTAAATAATTAAACAAATAGTTATTTTGAGAATAAGATTGGGAATAGGGTATGAAATAATAAACCAAACGAACCCCTTAATATTTTGGTTCAATCTTATCTGAAGATACGAAAGAGTTAAAAAAAAAAAAAAGAGCAATAGCATCAAAATTTAAAACTCTAGAATTGGGTTTGTAATAAGTAATTCCAAAACCCAAATTGCTCACAAAAAGCTTTGAAGGAGGAGGAGCAATTTAAGAAGAAAGGAGATGAAATTAAATATACTTTCTAAATATAGATAGTTATTTCAAGAAGTAGAAGCTTATTATTGTGTCTGGACTCTGGCCTTAATAAATAAAAACCAAAATTAGGTTGTTGGAGCATTAAGATGGACTAGTTTTGCAATTAATGAAAGAGTAACTTTATTCTTTGTGATTCCTTGCAATCAAAGTTCTTACCACTCCTCACAAAATCATAAATGCATTGCCAAAATTAAATCAATCCCTTATTAATGATCTTTTCATCAAATTAGAATACAGTAAAAACCCTGTCCAACCCTACAATATTTGTAAAGTAAGAAATAATTTCCAAATTTGGTCAAGAGTCTCAATAGGTTTTACGGATTCGAGTTTTAAAAATGAAAAATAATGAGCAAATTTTGTTATAAGTTTGAAGTTGTTTTACATATCTGAATAGGAAACTATATTTTCATCGAACCTATAATCTTTGAAAAACGAGAAACAAAAATTAAACAAGAAGATTGAACTAATGACTTTACTAAAACAAGCCATTAAGTTTAACCTAACCTAAGTTTACAAGAGCATATTATCAAAGGTAAACTAATAGAAAACTCATAATTATACCTTTGTGTCATCAAAACCTACAATCTTTTGTAAAGTAAGAAACAATTTTTAAATTTGGTCATGGGTTTTAACACGTTTTACAAATTCGAGTTTAAAAAGTGAAAACAATAATCAAATTTTGTCGCAAATCCAAACTCTTTTTACAAATACCAATATAAAACTATAGTTCTATCGAACCTGTAATGTTTAAAAAAACAAAAGAAACCATAAGATTGAACTCTTGACTTACTGAAAATAAACTATTAAAAGCACTAGCCTTATGGCTGGATAACAAAACTTTAGCTATCTGGATAAGTTACTTAGAAGCCTTGTGTTTAAGTCCTATAAAGTGGTCATTTACCACGTTTGTGACTTATCTGGTCCATTGAAACCACGGAAAATAGTTGAGATGTACGTAAACTGACTTAGACACCTAAGTTATATAATCAAAAAAAAAAAAAAAACCCATTAACTTTACCCCAACGTAAGTTTACAAGAGCATATTATTGAAGGTAAATTAATAGAAAACTCATAATTAAACCCTTGTGTCATTGGTTATTGCATACAAGACAAAAGATTTTGATTAGTTGGAAGTTATATTATTTCCTCTTAAAATCACTATAAAGTTTAATTATTCTATATAATTAAAACCAAAGTAACTATAATCCTTGCTAGCAAAAGGGAATTAAGCAAAAAGCATCAAATGCTAAATTGATAGGTGTCCATTATAAGAAAGCAAAACACTTTCATAAAACAATTTATAAAAGCAAAGTACTATTGACACCCCACCAAGCACCAAATCCAAGGCCCTACTTGATATTTTTTTCTCCTCTCTCTCTCTTTAAGCCTCGACTCCAGCCCTCCACTTCACTCGCATATCTTCTTTTTGAGCTTCTTCTCGAAGCATATCTCAACTCTCGTCTCTCTCCCTTTTGCATATTCTCTAATGGCTGCACCTGAAGGTAAAACTGAAGCCAAAACTGAAGCAAAACCAGAAGCTAAAGAAAAAGAAGCTGAAGAAGCTGATCTCAAGTGCAAGGTGATGAAATGAAACTTGCTCTTCTTGTTTGAACACTTTAATCTTTTCTCAT